TAACTTCTTTTGATTTTCTAAAAGACACTTATGCGAATGATCCTGATTTTAAGAGTATTTGAGAATCTTGTCTTACTTTTGGAATTGATTCTTCTGCTCAATTTGTTATTCAACAAGGGTATTTGTTTAAGGGTTCTAGACTTTGCATTACAAAAAATTCTTTAAGAGAACAACTTGTGCAAGAACTTCATAGTGGTGGTTTGGGTGGACATTTTGGTCAGGGAAAAACTGTTTCCTTAGTATAAGAAAAATATTTCTGACCTCATATGAGAAAGCAAATTGCTAAACTGGTGAAACAATGTAAATTTTGTCAAGATTTTAAGAGAATTTCTCAAAACATTGGTTTGTATACTCCTCTTCCTATTCCAAATAAACCTTGAGAGAATATCTCTATAGATTTTATTTTGGGATTGCCTATTACTGCAAGAAAATATGATTCTATTTTTGTTGTTGTTGTCTGATTTAGCAAAATGGCACACTTTATTCCATGCAAGAAAACTTCTGATGCTTCATATATTGCTGATTTATTTTTTAAAGAGATTGTTCATCTCCATGACATTCCTCGAACATTCACTTCTGATAGAGATACTAGATTTTTGAGTCACTTTTGGAGAACACTCTGGGCAAAATTAGGAACTATTCTTAAGTTTAGTAGTGCATATCATCCACAAACCGATGGGCAAACTGAAGTTGTCAATCGAAGCTTAGGAAATTTACTGAGATGCCTTACTAGTGAAAAACCATCTCAATGTGATTTATTATTGCCCCAAGCTGAGTTTGCATATAATAATTAAGTTAATAGCTCCACTGGTAAAACTCAATTTGAGATTATTTATGGTCAGCCTATACCTCACATTTTAGACAGAAATTGTTTACCATTGTCTAATAAAATTAGTGCTAAAGCTTCTGAAACTTTTGACCATATCAAAACTGTCTAAAAGCATGTCCTTGAAAAACTTCGAATGGATAATGTTAAATACAAATATGCTGCTGACAAACATCGGAGGGAAGTTTATTTTAAAGAGGGTGATTTGGTTATGGCTTACTTTCGTCGCCAACGATTTCCTGTTGGTACTTTGGTAAATTGAGGAGGAAGAAATTTGGGTCTTTTCATATTCTACAAAAGTTGGACACGAATGCCTCTCCTGGATCTCCCTATTACTTTTGGCACTTCTCCTGTGTTTAATATTTCTGACTTTTCTTTGTATGAAGGAAATTCAGATGATACAGTGAAAGTTGAAACTTTGCCACTTTCTACATCTGTTTTAAGCAATGATGATCAGATTGAAGATGTTATTGATGTAAGAGTTACTAAGACTAGACATAGCAAGCACAAGAGGTTCTTGGCTAAATGGAAAAATCATCCCTTGACAGACTGTACTTAGATGGATGCTATTGAGCTGAAAAATCGTCATCTGGATCTTTTTCTGAAAGTTGTTGAAGCCTTCTCATCAGGAGATGAGATTCACCCACTAGGGGGGAATTGATGCATGCATTTTTTCGTTTTATTGTAATTTGAATATTATAGTTGTTTTTATGCTTTTTTTATGCTATCCAATGATATAGAACATCCAATGATCATGAGGAGGTAGTGCTTGGGCATGACAAGCCTTGGGTGTGCTAGCTTCCTAGATTCTTTTGGTCCTTGGGTTACTTGTTGCCTCTCGAGTTGGGCCTTGGCTACTCTCGGGCGGGCCTTGGCTGCTTTGGTTTTGAGCTGAAAATTTTGGAGCTACTTAGTTCTAGCTCATTTTTTCTTGAGCTAATGTTTAGCTCATTTTTTGGAGGAGTAATTGCACTATTTAGCTCATTAATTTGAAAAGGTTCTCTTCCTTTTAGCTCATTACGTGGAGTTGGAACTTGCCTCTTCCCCTTCTTTGTGCCCTGTCAATTTCTTCCAAGTACTATTTCCCGTGGCTGGTTCTCCTCCCTTTGATGGGTGTTGGTTCCGATCCCCTGTGCTGCCTTTTCAATTTCTTCCCTTGTTGCTTTGTCATGGCTGCTTTACCCGGTTCCTGTGCTGCCTTTTTCGGGTGTTGTTCTGTTTTACCTATTGGCCTTCCTCTTCCCCTTACCTGATTGGTTTGGTTAGAGGTGGAAATTGGCTGTTTGGGTCCCCCTTTTCTCTTATAAATTAGTGATGTATTTGTCATGAGGAGGTTGTTGATTAACTTGAGAAAAGTTGTTAAAAATCTGAGGGTTTCTTCTTCTTCCTTAGAAAAGCTTGAGAGCTTCTTCCAATTCTCTCTTCCTCCTCTCTATTTCGTCTTTGGCTTCTAATCTCTTCTTCTCTACGCAAGTTCCACTCCACTTGTATCCTTCTTCTTGAGCTTTTGGAGGTGTTTGTTGGCGGAATTTGGAGACATTTGCTAGAGGTGTTTGGTTGGACGTTGGACCTTGTTGCTGTGGTGGACCCTTGGTTTGCAAGCCCTAAGCACTTATCATACTTTACCTACTTTTCGTTGCATGTGAGGAAACCGCTTATCGGTTGTTCTGAGGATAGTGTTTTTATTTTATAATTTTGTTTCGTTTGTTCGACTTTTCGTTTGTTTTGGTGTTGTTTGGATGTCTGCATTCTAGATTGAATCGAGTTTGGTTTCAATTGTCCCAGTGTTCTCCTATCTTGACTTTTCTTTCTAGTTTGCTTGCATCAATTATTGATCAAATTTTCCATAAATCAAATCCTTCCGAAGGTGTAAGCTAGTGTTCGTTTATCTATATAATGCTTGAGGGATGTATAATAAGATACACATTCAAGTTGATCAAACTATGAACAAACAATTAAGTTGAATACAAGTCTCTGAATAGCCAATGGAATAACGATTTAATGTCTTCACATTTTTAGGTGATTCTCAACTCATCATAAATCAAGTGTCTACCACTTAACATGATTAACAAGCTTATGTTTGATTACTATCACAAGTAAGTTATTGAGTTTATGAGGTAATTCCATTATGTTAATATATATTAAGACTCCCAATCTCATGACATCAAAGCAGATTGTCCAACTGATGAGGACATCAATGCATGAAAGGTTTATCATAGAAGGGGCCGTAGATCGACGGCCACGATTGAGTCGTTATATTATTAGTTGTGTGTGTTGTATGTGATTTAATTTAGTTTGTGAACTTTTCCTTAATGTTATGATGTAAGCCTAAGAGCATTTGTCTTTTTGTCTTATCATGTGGTGGAGCCTATATATAATATATATGACACTCTTACCCCATTGTAAGATGATGATGATTATTTTGAATGAATTTTGATTTCAGCCCTATCCTCTTATGTGAGAGTAAAGTGTGGAGTGGTGAAGCTTTAGGAGAAGGCAAATGAAGTACCCAACAACCCATTAAGGTGAGATCTTGGTTTCCCCCTTGTATCTCTTCCCTTTTCCCTCCTTTTTCTTCCTCCCTAACGATTGGTGAGCGCCCCCCCCCCCCCATCTCAGTTTCTCCCTTGTATCTCTTCCCCTTTCCCTCCTTTTTCTACCTCCCTAGCCGCCGATCAGCAGTGCCCCCCCTCCCCCTCGCTCGGCCAGCCACTCATAGTCATAATATTTATAACACTTTTATTTGAGTTAGTAATCTTTTATAACGATTGACCCTATATGCAGGAAAAATGTCATAATATACGGCATTATGCAGGAAAAATGTCATATTCTATTAGATGAAAGAGTGGGTGTATTATGCTTTATCTCTTCACGAATGGCATAGATGGAAAATGAAATTTGTAAGGGTGAACTTGGAGAGTTGATGTAGGCTCAGTTGAAAACTCGAACTATCATAAATATTATGTCTCTTATTGACAATGCATTTGATTGTGCGAATATTCACTCTCATACTCTTACTTATCTTTTAGTGATTCTTCACACACGTCATGTAATCCTTTTTTAGTTAATCTCTCAATTTTCAATTCGATATGATTTTATGACTTAATTCATCCTCTCCCCTGTTGGCGGTGCATCATCAATAATTGGGCCTATGCATAAATCTAGTCAACAATAAAAGTTGCCTCCATTGAAGCAACCAATTATAGTCACGGGTTGGTTTATTCATTGATGATTTTACCCGATTGACCCTGTTGACATTTTGAAGAACTTTGTTTTTACAACTAGAATTAATTCAAGTTTAATTCTCCAAACAAAATAACAAAATATTCCTTTTAAATTAACATTAACTGCCTATAGCTGCACTTTGTATGTTTATTAGATTAAGGAGGTATGCCATTAGTATATAAAAGCTATACAAGTAAATCCTTATTTTGAGTGTTGCACCAACAAAAATCCCTACTAACATTACCTCAAAAAATTAATGGCAAATCATCATATTACCACTAAAGATTACTTAGGCTGCCATAAACATGCTATAAACATGCTATCACCCATTGTCAGCTTTGTGTCAAACTTCAAGTTGACTCATGAGCATACCTCCTTCATTTGATAACACCAACAGTGGCTTTACAAGATAAACATCATCAAGCCAAATACACACATAATGACAATTTATCGACCCCTTGGTCTTTTAACATAAATTATTCAGATTGTCATCCTTCATCATATTCTGGTAAATCAGGTACTGAAAGTACTAATTGCGCATCAACCCAATGATCACATTTTTATCTCCACTTGCATATTCTGAGATCTAATCGATAAAAACTTTGCGATCATTAACATGCTAGTTTATATTTTTACTAGCCCAACCAAAGCAAACTCTGCCATTCACACAACCGTACAACACACTGTTGCCCCACCCAAAGCTTCCAATGAAAAAGCTCACCAAATGAAAGATACAACCTCATGCTCTTAGCATACACAACTATCTTTGTTCATAAAATCCAAAATATGAACCGAGCAAGTATAGTTTTATTTGATAAAAAAGGGGAAATATAAATACAATACAAATCTCCAATGAATCTTTTCCAATATGTATGGCCAACTTAGAATATTACATAAATAAACTTCAACTACCACTATTCAAGCAGAGTAGAAAATTTAATGCAGTTACCTGGAAGCAAAGGCCTCTGTAGTACTCTTCTGAAGGAGGCATAAGAACATCTATAGATATATTTTTCTCCATGTTCCATATTCTCAAGTATCTGACGAGGGTTGAAATCTCCTCAAGGGCCTTACGAGTGAATTTATCTTCAGAAGAGATTTCATATTATCATGAAATCCAGCAAGAAAGTTGTAAATATGATAATTACAACTGCTCATATTCTCCATTATGTTTAAGTAGAGATAGAAATAACTACCCGGAAAAAGGGCTCCTCTCAACCTCGCTAGAGCTTGATCAGCAGATCCACAAAACCTCAAATCTGCTGTTTGCAATCTATCAACAACAACTTCTGAAAGATGCAGATCCTGAATTATATGAACAGACCACAAATTTTTATTATGGTTGACACATTCAATAGTCCAAGGGGGCGTATATGTTGAACTAAAAAAACATATGCGCTAGTATTAATAGGCATATAATCACAAGTTAAAAATCAGAATTCTGTATCATCAAACAAATTACAAAAATAGAGATAAGTACTGTTAATTTGGTTTAAGGTGTGCTTATGCTTTATAATTTTTATTGCTTTTATTTTTTTTGTTCTTTTTTTCAGTTTTTGAAAAACAAAAGCATACATGTTTGTGTTTTCAAGTAATAACAATAACAAAACAAAATAAAATAAAAAATAAAAGATATTCCCAGCAGCGCTGTCTAATTTATAAATGATACCAATGTGGCTCCGAAAATTCGGCCCCGCCTCTGCCCGTTGTTTGCTTTTTTACTTCGGCGAGCGGAGTTTTAACGGAATTAAGTTATGGGTAAATTTTGGAAGGCAGATGGATTTGTGGATAAGACACTACCAGAGATTTGCCCTCATTATGCAGACTTTATGATCTGAGTTCTGGTTTCCCATAAGCGCAAGCCTCTATAGTTAATACCCCTCCCGATAAACGAGAGGGAACTTTCGATTAAGGCTAGTCGTCAATCAGGATATGTTGTATCCATATTATATATAATATATATTATATATATATATATATATTATATATATATATATATATATATATATTATATAGTATCAGGCATATAGTAGCAGCAATGGGCTTGGATTTGGGAATTTGAAAATTTTGATATTTAAATTAAAAATTTCACATCTTGCACTTAAAGCGGATGGTGGGGAAATGGATGATAGACCCGATCAAGATCCCATGGTTCCGTCATCCCGGGTCATCGTGGTCCCTGATCTACTTAGTCAGAGGAGGTAGTCGACCCAAGCCTGACAGAAGGATCCTTGTTGGCAGCCATAGGTTGCTTCATCCAAGGGAACCTTGTAGACCGGGGTTGAATGTTTGTCTAAGGAGACAAATTTAAATCCACCTTAACTAACAGAGGGCTTTGTGCCCTATCGATCATATCCTATTATTCATATCTTAAGGATTTGATGCCACTAAGGAGCGTATTGGCTGTGGCCATAACCGATATTTCGTGGTGTCATTTGGCGGCAAAACCACTCGGTTCAAATGTCCCCGGGTTATAACCGTTTATCCTGCGATGCCATTTGGCGGCAAAACCGCCGGTTAGAGGACAATTACCACGTCCTTATTGGTAGGAGATTATTTGAGAATGGATCCTAGTAATATTTTCGACTAGGTATTAGCTCTTTAAGAGCTGAAGTAAATTTTAATTTATCCACCTCAGCAAATTATTGCGGAGGGTGGATGGATTTTGCTTTAAGTACTTTATGGTTAGATTTCAATTTTAAATATTTGGAATTTTCATGATCTTTGAGATTTTGGATTTTTGGGCATTTAAGTGGCATTTGAAAATATTTGTGAACCCTTCCAGTTGAGATAAAGATTCAATACGGCCATCATCGGGGTGACTTCGAAGTCACTTGAAAATAATTGAATTTTGTGGAGTTTGATGGCATTTTGAAATATTTGAGATTAACCCATCCGGTTGAGATTTTCTGTCAACGCGGCCATCATCGGGGCATATAGGATCATTTGAAAATTTCATTGACTGGATCTTGTCAACTCTGTCCACTACTCGATAGAGGATCGGGTCTCTAGGCTTTATGATTTAATTAATGAATTTTTTTTGTTATAAGCCTTGAAGGTCTAATATGAATATATAAAATAAATATTTCAATCGACTTCGTGACTGCATATTTATCCAATGGTTCGAACCCTGTCAACTCTTGTTGATCCATATAGAAGGATCAGGTTCGAACTTAAATTCACTTATTGACCCGCACAGCATCCCTAGACGTCATGTATGTACCAATAATATGCTAGTCGGGGCCAATGCGGGTGTTTGGGGGCATTTTATAATTTACCTTGTCGACTCCTTTTTATCTATTTAGGAGGATCGGGTTTCGTAGGTTTTATGTCTTTGTTAGTGAATTATCATTGTTATAGGTCTTGAAGGCTTAATATGAATGTATTAAAACAAATATATCGATCGCCGCAACCATGTATTTGTTTGATAGTTCGAACCCTGTCGACTCCTATTGATCCGTATAAAAGGACCGGGTTCGAACTTGAATTCACTTATTGACCCGCGCAGCATCCCTAGACGTCACGTGTGTACTAATAGCATGCTCGTCAGGGCTCATGCGGGTTTTAAATTGCATATCCCTTTTAGTGTGCCTATGTGTATACAAACTGTAGTGCATGTGCGAGGGTACTTTTAAATATTTGATGAGTCATCTATGGCGGCTCGTAGGAGTTCATTTTGTCGTAGACTTTTTAGCATTTACTTGTGAATGGTATGGCGGATGCACGACCACTATTCATCGAGAAACCTAAAAGCCTTAATGATCTTATCCAACTCAATTTTCAGGATCTGACGAAATTGAGATTCATTCACTCCATAATAATTTGATATGGCTTTCTCTTCCCAGAACTCGTATAGGAATTAGTAGACAATCTCCTTGATTATGCCATCATAATCATTTTTTATTGTTGGCTTAAATAAGGGATCAATCGTTTCAACCTTGGATGAATACTTTGAATATGCGTAGGACATGTTGTCTTTGCCTGCCTGAGGATCAACATATTTAACTATCGTTGTAAGATTTATGTGTCAGATCCCTGTGCTTGTAGGAAATAGGCACATCTACTTACCATTGCTTGATTACAGACTGTCTAAGTATCTTAGACTCGTTGCAGGCTCCTTGTATCATTCTTTCAGATGGCATGTTAAATGTACAATAGGACTTTTACCACTGCCCACAGATGTCTGCATTTACCACTGCTCTCCTATACTCACATGCGGTGAACTTCTCACAGCACTGTGTAGGCACTTTACATTTCCTACACTTTCCCCACCATTATCAATGAGTAATTTGTCATTAGAACTACTTCAAGTTTGCCTGTGGACAACACATTGGGTGTGCAACGGATCTTTTACAATTACTCACAGGAGTTTGTCGTTAGTGTTCTTAAGTGGACGTAGAAAAGATTGATGCATCCTCTTACATGACTCTTGTATTGATTGTATCAATTTCAGCTTTGTTATTCACAAGGCAGTGTTGCACATTCATGATTACCCTTGTCAATTTCATTGCTTGCAAGCTCGGGTACATTTGAATGCTGGATATGAATGAGTTATGTTGAGTTCTACAAGTCTTCAACTATTATATGAGGATGATTCAAATCTTGTGATTAGTTTGCTTGGCAACTTATACATTCCGATTGGAGTGACAATTCCCAATTATTCATTCAAAATTTTGAATTTGTTAACCATGAAGATGTCACTGTATTCTTCATTCGCTCATCGTCTGCATGCTACCACCTTATCAAATTTTGTTTTTGAATTATAATTTATACCATTCAATTAGGTCCAAGTTCAACTTAGGTTTCATGCCCTATGAGTCCAAGCTTATGCTCTAACTCAAGTCCTATATGAGTTCAAGTTCAAGTGTAGTTCTTTATAATTTGTTTAAGTTTGAGTTCTCTTGCATTTAGTTCATTTGAACTTGAGTTCCCTTACATATGATTTAGTCAAGTTCAAATTCTGCTCAAAGGTTCACAAGTTCGAGTCCAAGTTCAAGTACGAGTTGCCTTTGTCCACATTTTGTTCCGGTTTTGAATTCAAGTAGCAAGCTCAAGTTCTATGTCCCTTGCGGTCCTTTAAGTTTTAATCAACTTCGAGCCTTAAATTATTTTGCTCGAATTTTAATTCAAGATTCATTTCAAACTCAAGTTTATTTGGATTCAAGGTTGAGTTCATTCAAGTCATTTGAGTCCAAATTAGGTCCAAGTGTAATCTTAAGTTCACCCGAAATTTTGGCAGCCTCCTGACATCTTCCCCGTTTAGGGGAAAACTACGGAAAACTAAATAGAGTAAATATGTGGGGAAATATATCTTAATTCATATATTTGTCCATTGAATATCTGAACTCTTATTTTCTCTCTCAATATAGTATAATGTATTCATTATGTTCTCCATTGATCTCTCAAAATTAAAACCAACATATTTTTTATAGAAAAGATTCATCTCTCCATCATTTGTCATGATTCAGTTTTCATGTCCAACTAATATCCCTTGTAAGTAATGGACAGGCATCATTTACATTAGTGCATATTCATTTCAGCCTCGAATAGATGGCAATTCAGATCTCTTTCCACCATATCATTTACCACTTTAATTGTAGGTGAACCCTTGAATTTACTTTTTTTCTTTTTTTCTTTTTTCCTTTTAATTTTTGAAAAATTTACTTCTATTCCTTCTCAATATACTTTCAAAGTCAAAAAAAAAAAAAATGTTGCAATGATTCAATTGATGTGTTCAGAGATTTTTAAAACAATTTCAAGATCATTGAATTTGAATTGTTTGAAAAGATTTCAAGAAAATAGTTGAAAAGAAAAGCAATCATCTTAAATTCGAAAAATGGACTTATAATCATCATTCCCCTATATATTAATCACCTATTCAGTTATACAAGGTGTATTTGAATTTGAAAACTGTTCACCTCATGCCCATTAGTTATACACAGTGTAATCTAATTTGAGAAATCTCATGCCCATATGTCTAGTTAGGGTTCCCCCACTTATAAGTTGTCACAGCTCAGTTTGGCCTATCCATGAACGATCAATCTAAAGTATAATAGATAAGGAAAATCTAAATCGGTTCCTTCTTACTAACACCCATTCTGAACCACTACTTTCACAATAGAGTGAGTAAAAAGAAATTTATTTAGAATCTCCTAACTTGCCAACATATCAAATTTCATAATTAATAATGGGAAGCATAAAATGTTCCTTAATGAACATCAAATATAATTGAAGTAAATACAGAGCTCTACTAAAACTTTTAAAATTTACTTACATACCCAAAAGTCTATATAGCTATCATTCAG